CATGTTTACCTACACTGCCATCTTGACCGGAAGTCCCTGTCTTCCTGCTTTTTAATTGTTTTTTCCTTTTAGTTTTCTGATTGGTTGATTATTTCTACCCTGTCTTCTAATTCACTGATCTGGTCCTCAGCTTCCTGTACTCTGCTGGTTAGTACTTTCTATGTGTTCTTTATTTCTGGTATGTCATTTTTCATTTCCACCTGGTTGGTTTTCAGTGTTTCTGTATCTTAACTCATGGTGCTGATGTCCTTACTCATGCTATTGAGCTTCCTCAAATTATGGCTCTGAACTCTACCTCTGATAATTTACTTAACTGCATTTCATTGATCTCATCTTCGATAGAGTTCTCTTGTTCTTTCATTTGGGATTTGTTTCTTTGTTTCACCATTTTGGCTATCACAGTGGGTTTTTGATCCTGCCAAATTTTCCCTGTGGGTGTTGGTGTTGTGCTGTTTGTGGCTCCTTCCACTGAGTTTAGATGAGCCTGGGTGGGCCCACGTTAAACACCACTGTCAAGTCTTACTTTCCTGGGTAGATTTGCAAGCCCAGAAAATGTTCAGTTATCCTCTAGCTTTTTCCTGGTGGCTAGTAGTCTCAGTTATTCAGTGCCTTGGAGTGTAGCCCTGGTGTTCTGCATAAGAGAATTTCCAGAGGGTGGGATAGATGCTGGTTGTTAATTAACCTCAATTTGCATTTCTGTGCCTCACCTGAGAAAGGCTTAATCTCTGAGGGGAGGGCTGCTGCTTTTCTTCACAGCTCTGGGAGGAGCATGCTGTCCATGTCCTTTGTGGCCACAATTCACGAAAAACTCTGAGTGCCTTTCAAATCCCTGCTGTGCCCACAGAGTTTCAGCCCAGTCTTCCCTCCCTCTGCTGTAGCCCCCAGGTGAGTGGCTGTGGCTATCTTTTAGCTCTCTGTGCTATGGAGTGGGCTTGGTCTTTATTCCCCAAGGGTGATGCTCACAGCTAAGACTGCTGCTATCTGTGGGCTCCCAGCCTGCCACCCTCTTGTGCCTCCACAGATCCTACCAGTGTCCTTGGTTATATGGTCCTGTCCTGCTGCTTTTCTGTTGCTTTTTTCCAAGGATTTGTCTTTATTTTAGTTGTAATTCCCATTTGGTCCTGACAGATCATCTGTGTAGCTTCCATTCACTCTGCCTCCATTTTCACATCCTCCTGTCTTCCTGTTTTTTCATTGTTTTTCCTTTTTAGTTTTCTAATTGGGTGATTGTTTTATAACTTGTCTTTTAATTCACTTATCCAGTCCTCAGCTTCCTCTACTTTGTTGGGTATTCCTTCCAGTGTGTTCTTTATTTCTGTTATGTCATTCTTCATTTCCAGTTGGTTGGTTTTCAATGTTTCTATATATTTACTCATGCTGTTAAGTATCCTCATGATTATTGCTCTGAACTCTCCCTCTAATATCTTGCTCATTTTCCTTTCTTTTATTTTATCTTTTTTTGAATTATTTTGTTCTTTCATTTGGGCTTTGTTTCACCATTGTGGCTGTTTCAGTGGATTTTTGAGCCTGCCAAATTTTCCCTGTTAGTGTTGGTGTTCCACTGATTGTGGCTTTCTCAACTGGGCTTGAATGAATGTGGGAAGACCCACTTTAAACACTACTGTCAAGTCTTACTTTCCTGGGTAGATTTGCAGACAGGAAAGGTTCAGTTATCCTCTATTTGCCTATTAGTCTCAGTTACTTAATGAGCCTCTAGTGAGGCTCTTGCTTACCCATTAAATTGAGATGTTAATAAGCCTAAATTTGCATTTCTCTGGTATGGGCTGGTGGTGCTGTGTTCCTGGGGTAATGGCTTTTGCTTCTCCCCAAGGCTCTGGGAAGGGCTCTTTGAGTAAGTTTGCTACTGTCTTGTGAGGAAGTCAGTCAGTACTAAATTCATGGTGTCCACCACTTTTGAGTCAGGAACCCTGGACTCTTTCCACTCAGTTCCAATCCAGTCTGCCCTCCCTCTGTCAGAGCCCAAAATGAGTGGCTATAGCTGGTATGGTGCTTTTAAAGAAAAACCACTTTCTCAATGGGAAGCACACACTGCTAATATAGCAATCCGCTGCTGTCTGTAGGCTCCTAGCCTGCCCCTGCTCACCTCCGCAATTACTACCAGGCTCAATTTGCCATCCTTGGTTGTACTGGTTCTGTTCATCTGCTCTTTAGTTGGTTTTTCCCAATGATGTGTCTTTAAAACCCCCACTTTCTCAGCAGGAAGTACACTTTGCTAATACATCTTTCCACTGCTTCAGGACACATCTCTCTAATGCTGAGCAGTACTTCTAATCAGTGATGATCACTCATGAATTCACAAACTGGCAAACCAATATTTATTGAGCCCTTTTTTGCCCAAGTATGTATTAAACAGTGCAAAAATAAGTAAAACATATAGACATTTGTAGGTCTTGGGTTTACAGCTTAGCAAAGGCAAACAACGTTCAAACAACTAAAGCTTAATGATTGTTCAAGTTATGTTGTAGGAATCAGTACACTGTGAAAGGAAACAAAATTCAGATACAAATTTATTAGACTTAGAGCAAGAAGATATTAGCAAAGTAACAGTAAAAGACTGTATTTAAGCCCTGGCTGGTTTGGCTCAGCGGTTAGAGCGTTGGCCTGTGGTCCGAAGAGACCCGGGTTCGGTTCCCGCTAAGGGCACGTACTTCGGGTGCAGTTTGTCCCCGGCCGTGGTTGGTCGTGCGGGTGGCAGCCACTCGATGTGTCCCTTCACGTCGATGTTTCTCTCTCTCTCTCTCTCTCCCTTCCTCTCTCTCTCCCTCCCACTCTATCTGTACAAAAAAAATGGAAAATATCCTCGGGTGAGGATAAAAAAAAAAAAAAAAAAGACTGTATTTAAGCCAGATCCTTCTAAATAGCTAAATGAGAAAAAGAAAAGTTGAGAAAATGCTTTTATTTTAGACATACTAAATCCTCCTCACCCCCTGCCACACAAGGATTTCAATTTCTTAATCTCTAAAATTTATGAATATATTACATTACATGACAAAGGATACTTTGCACATGTAATTAAATTTCGAGATTTTTGAGATAGGGAGATTATCCTGGATTACCCAGGTGATTCAACATAATCACATGAATTCTAAAGCACAGATACCTTTTCCTGGTTGTGGTCAGAGGGACACCTGACTACAGAAGGAAGGTGTATGAAGATGTAATATCACTGGCTTTCAACATGGAGGATGTGAGCCTAGAGTCAAAAAATGCAGGTAACCTTAGAAGCTGGAAAAGGCATTTGATTCTCCTCTAGTGCCTCCAGAGAAAAATATTGGCTTGCCAAAAGCTTGATTTTATCCCAGTAAGACTCATGTCAGAACTCTAACCTATAAAATTGTAAGATAATAAACTTGTGTTGTTTTCAACCATTCATTTTATAATAATCTGTTATGCAGCAATAGAAAACCAATATAGTATCCTGACATGAAAGACACCATAAGCAAAGGTTTAGGTGTAGCATGGGGATGTATTTGTTTTATGCTATTGAAGTACAAGGCCGAGTATTAACAGATAAAGCAGTAGAGAAAAGCAGATATTGAATAATGGAAAGGCTTTGTGCATATAGGGAGCCTTGCCATTATCTCATAATGCATTGGACAGCTATAGAAAGATTTTAAGTGTGGTTACATTTACCTTTTAACAAACTATAGAAATGATCCCTGAAAGTATAGTCTTTACATTTACCTTTTAAAATGATCTTGGCAAACAGTTAACCTTAATGTTCAGGATGAGAGGATAATCCAGGGGAAGTTTTAAATCTGAACTAAAACAGCTGCAGTGGAAATAAATGGGTGAAAGAGAATCTTACTAAAAAGATGATCTTCACAGTTTGATAATCAGACCTTGTTATAAATATGTATTTACTTCCATGCCTACACCTAAGTATTATTGTACTGCAAATGAGGGCAGGGCTATTTCTGGTAGCCATGACAAATAAGCACCGTGCCAGCCTCCTGTTTCAAACTCTATACAGATGTCTGTCTTCCAATATTCATTCACAAAATGTCTGTACATTTGTTGCTTAGTGGAATTTGTGAATTACATATAAATCATGTAACAGCAAATTATAACAGCAAAACAACAATAACAAAAACCCTAAAAAATGTCATTCTCTCTCTCTGCCCATTGCCAGAATCACCACTGTAGTGGAATTATTGCAACGGTCTCTTGTTGATCTCCCTTCTTCATCTCTCTCAAATCAACCCATGTTGCTCATGCTTGCAGACATGCCATTCTTAAAATTTGATTTATCATGTTAGGTGGTGTTGTAGAGATGAAATTGTCTCTTCAGGACATTTCAAGGTTTTTCTAGGTACTCCAAAATCTGCTTTATTCATACTGTACAAAATTATTTCTCATTATTTGCCAAACTATACTATCTATTTCAGCCAGACCAATACCTTCATAGCTGCTATGTTCCCTGGTAGTCTACTTCTCCTTCATAGTATAGTGACTGGGCATTGTATACATATAAATTTAATAGGTGCTATTTAAAAAATAATCTCAATCTTTCCAAATTATATCCTTCTTTAAGGGCTGACTCAAATTGACCTACTACATTACATAATGTTTTTTTTAATCCTCACTCAAGGACATTTTTCCATTTATCTTCAGGTAGAGAGGGAGAGAAAAGGAGAGAGAAAAACATCTTCATGAGAGGGACACATCAACTGGTTGCCTCCTGCACGACACTGACCATGGCCGGGGACGAACCAAAACTCAGGTACATGCCCTTGGCTGGAATTGACCCCAGGACTCATTGGTCCGCGGGCCGACACTCTTTCACTGAGCCAAACCAACCAGAGCTATTTCAACTACTCTTAAATGTTAATTAAACCTCTGTGAGTCACATCATAGATCACCTGATTATTTCATTTTTCGTGGCTAAGACTGTTTTCCCGACTTTGTTATAAATTCTGTACAGCATAGCTTTTCACTCTTCCCCTAAGTTTTCCACAAGATGCTGACCACTGTGGCACTCAACACATATTAGGTGCCAAAAAATGCTAATTGCTTGATCATTTATTACCTCAATATTCTAGTCTGCTACATGTGGTCAACAACTTCCCCCAGACCTTCTCTCGGATTTGTCGAGTCTTTACACAATACACAATGGGGTTCATTAGGGGTGGCAACAACAAGAATATATCTGCAATAAGGATTATAGTGAGGGGACTTTTGTGCTGGGCAAAGCGGTGCATGGAAGCCAGGGTGATGATGGGTACATAAAAAATGAGCACAGCACAGATGTGGGAGACACAGGTATTCAGGGCCTTGAGTCTCTCCACCAGGGATGCAATGCTGAGTACAATCTTTAAGATCAGAATGTAAGACAGAACGATTAATGTCAAGTCCAGCATGGTAGAGAGAGCAACAAAGAAGCCATAGATAACATTACTCTTGTTGTCAGAGCAGGCCAGCTTCATGACATCCTGATGAAGACAGTATGAGTGAGAAAGAAGATTCTTCTGACAATATTTCAGTCTTCTTAGAGTGAAGGGAAATGGAAGCACTAAGAGAATGCTCCTAATGGCTAAGATCAGTCCCATTTTAACAACTCTGTTGCTAGTGAGGAGAGATGTGTATCTCAGGGGATTGTGAATGGCAAGAAAACGATCCAAAGACATGACGAGAAGCACTGAGGATTCCATGACTGTGAATCCATGGATGAAGAATTCTTGAGCAAAGCAGGCATTGGGTGAAATTTCCATGGCATTAAACAAGAAAATTCTCAGCATGGTAGGGAGGGAGGAAAATGACAGGCCCAGGTCAGAGATGGCCAACATGGCAATAAAATAATACATGGGCTCATGAAGTGAGGGCTCTGTCTTTACAATAAAGAGAATGGTGCTGTTGCCCATGATGGCGATCGTGTACATGAGGCAAATGGGGATGGAGATCCAGACGTGGGCATGTTCCAGTCCTGGGATTCCAACCAGAAGAAAAAACTGAACCTCAGAGTTATTGAAAATAGACATGAGTGGAACTGTGAGCTTTTTATCCAGATCTGAATCACATAAACAGAAACAGTCATACTTTTAAAACTCAGTGTAGTGGGGGTAAGCACTTCTTTTATATCCTGTTCTTAGAAGCATATTTTTCATACTAATAACAAAATGCAATTTTCAACATTCATTAAAAGTCTATACACATGTTTATGTTCTCCAATATGGGAATTTCACTTAAAACAGTTTGTCCTAAGGTGTTAGTTTTCCAACATTTTTATCCAAATGAAAATCATTTCAAAACAGAGCTGCTTTGATTGAGTCAGTGACAGGCACGCAGAATCATTCCATCTGTGTTTCCACATGATTTTAAGTCGTCCCCTCTTGGTTTCATGACAAGATCCCTAACTTCTTAGAAGAAAGTTTAAAAATAATAGTATGAGAAAATAATCAGAGAGGCTTGAACAAATCTATGCTATGGTAAATAAATATTAAATGCTCGAAAGTAAATCTATAGACTGTTTAAAACTACGAGGTAGGTACTTATCCACATTTCATAGATGATTATAAATACCAATCTAGGCTCAATAAAGCACAAACATATAAAAATATTCATACTGATTATACAGTGGTTTCCAAAAGAAGTGGGAGAAATGGAGCACAGATACGCCTTTGGGAGTTATGCATTCTTATTGTCTTCATGCTTGTACTCTTACATGAAATGAGTACTTCCTAGTTTAAGGATGAGCCACACTTCAGGTTATCTTATTATCTCAAGGGAAAGTGTTGAAGCCATACAGTAATAACATAGGCTGGTTAATCTTATCTCTCTCGATCAAATTATCTTATTTTTTTTAATTCTCTGAGTAAATAAGTAAAATAAATTCTGAGAAAAATTCTAATTACTCAATTTCTCTTTGTAATGTAAAATTTTTAAATCCACTTGCATATTAAATTACACCCTGTTTTTATTGCTAAAGTCACTATTAAGGAGTTAACATTACATTATCAATGGTAAATATATGATGTTAAGACTTACATTCAATTTTTTGAGCTCAGGATATATCAATGTTGAATAATCAGTATAGTACTGGCAGCCATGTTCAGTGGTTAGAGCATCAGCCAGAACACTGAAGGGTCTCAGGGTTGATTCCTGATCAAGGGCACATACATACCTGGGTTGCAGTTTCGATCCCTGGCCTCAGTCAAGGTGTGTGAGTGAAGCAACCAATTGATGTGTTTCTCTCATCTCCCTCTCCCTCTCCCTCTCCCTCTCCCTCTCCCTCTCCCTCTCCCTCTCCCTCTCCCTCTCCCTCTCCCTCTCCCTCTCCCTCTCCCTCTCCTTTTCCCTCTCTCTTTCTCCTTCTCTTCCTCTTCCCCCATCCTTTCCACTCTCTCTAAAGATCAATGGAAAAAAACAGCCTCTGGTGAGGATTAACAAAAAAATAAAATAAATAACTAATCAGTATAAGTTACTGGAGAAACACACCTATCTAAGTTAACCATCACACATATTATACATCTTATCTATATTTAGTAAGACTGATGAATACATGCATAATAAATAGAAATTATTAAATTGATCATTTCAATTGCAAAAAAATGAAAAACAAAGGTGCAAAAATAAAGGGAGAGGCAACAGAAAACAAGAGTTCACATGAGTTGTTAACCTCACTCCAGAATTTTTTTTAAGTTCAAATTGTATAGAGAAAAAAAAATCATCAGACTTCAATGGAAAATGAAAATTTGGGGATCCTTTAAATTAAAGTTTGGCTGTGTATTTGTATTGTATTTTGTAACTCTTTAGAGAATAACCACAAAAATAACATAAAAAATAGCAAGCAGAACTGGACCAATATATTTTGTATTTGGGGGGTACTATCTACACAGATCTGTTTTTTCAGCTTGTGAATGGAGCCACAGCTGTCAGACTGGAATCTGCTAAACAGTTTGGCATGTCTTTTTTTTTTTTTTATCTCCCATCATGTCAGCAAACTGAATGCCAAGCCCAGAGAAGGTATACTTTAGATAGTAGCATATTTTCAAGTACCACGACAATCATTCATATGTAAGCTGTCAGAATGCCTGTTTAACAAATTTTATATTAACATCTCCTTTCCAGGACTCATAAGAAAAGTTCTTACTTTCAAAAACACTTATCTTATTCTCTTTTCTTATCCTCGTTGGCAGATGTGTATTGACATAGCTTTCAGGGACATTCCTGTCATGCATGTTTTATTATGGTAGTTTCTACACTGCTTTGTAATGTACTGTTTTTATGCATCCCTATCCAATACAGCCCCACCACCACCATATACACTGACTGCTCTTTATTGAAAAACATAGATAGGATTTTATTTATATTCACATATCTGTCATCTACATAGTTTCTAGAACATAAAAAACTCTCAAAAATGTGCAATGAATTAATGTGAATGGGAAAAATGTAAGACGTAGAATAATTTCTTAGTGCCTTCTCCCTTTCTTCTATAATAGGACCCAAGGACTATTTATTCCACTCACCAACATATTGAGTGGTAAACTTGATCTTACACAGAGTTTGCTTTTGGACATGGAGTCAGAACTTCAGAAGAAATAACCTAACAGAGCTATCAATTCAAAAATATTTACATGAAAGTTGGTATCTGAGGTCATTAAAGTTGATGAGAACACCCAGAAAAAAATGTACAAAATACAAAATTTAAATTTCAGATAGAGTCATGAGGAGCAGCAAGTTTTTTCAGAGCATCTTGCATAAGAATATCCCTCAACCTGAGAGAAAACCTAGTGGAGTAGATGAAGTGGGTAACAAAGAAGAAAGTGTTCCAAGGTGGATAGTCATCAGATCAAACATTGTCCAGACCTCTTAGACTTCCATTCCTTAAATTAAGAAGTCAGCCATCTAGCCTGGCCGGTGTGGCTCACTGGTTGAGCATCGCCCATGCACCAAGAGGTCACCAGTTCGATTCCCGGTCAGGGCACATGCCCAGGTTGTGGACCTAGTCCCCAGTGAGGGGCATGCAGGAGGCGGCCCATCAATGTTCTCTCTCATCAATGTTTCTATCTCTCTTTCCTTCCCACTTCCTGTCTCTCTAAAATCAATAAAGAAGAAAAAAAAAGAAGTCAACCATCTAGTCTGATGCTAAACAGTGGGTATAAATCTCAGCTTGGCAACTGCATTTGTGTAAGCTTACGCTTCCAAGCAGATGTTCGCACTTCTGTTACATGTTGTAGACAACAGTATCTATCTAACATGGTCATTTTAGACACTATAAACTCTTTATTATAATGAAGATAATTAGTAAATACCAGTGCTAATAATTATTTCAACTAAATTCTCTCCCCACATCAAGTTCTACATTGGCTTAATAGGGATTTTTCTTCTTTTAATTGACAATAAGACTTACTTTTATTTGTCATTCTATCAAGTAAATGGGGCCCTATTGGTGTTAGAGGTAATAAAATCCTTCTTAACTTTCAGGTCTTGCAGTCTTATCCCCACTTACACACACACACACACACACACACACACACACACACGCACTCAGTCGCCACTTCCTCTTCCTCCCCATAGTCATTTCTTCAGATGTAAACTGTTTAACAAAGCCCTGGGTTTAGGTTTGCGAAGAGATTTTCACCTATTAGCACTTACCAAAACTGGATGGTCAATATATCCTGAAAGATAAGAATAAGAATTCTCAGCTTGACCACCTCCTTACATAGATGTACCTACTCCTTCCCTCAGGGTTGTAGACCCTTGGGAAAAATAGAAAATTAGTCTGCTCCCTGGGATTTCTGAGTAATTTACAGAGAAAGTGTTCAGCCAAATATGTTAACTCTTTGGTACCCAGGATCCCCAGCTGGAACTAGAAACAAATTGTAAGGCAAAACAATCTGAAAATGTCTCCAGTAAGAGGTAGAAATCTAAAAAAATTTAGTTTCAATTCGAGGTCACACTACTTTATTTTTTTTCACCTCAGCTTAGTTATTCACAAAATGGAGACCATAATACACAAGTATCAAATATTTATACAAGCATTTTACAAATTACAAAATGGCTTACTAATTATTCCATTTATTCTTTTGATCCATGCTTGGCAAATGTCATTAGAAAAGACATGTGCTGCCCTTGCCAGTTTGGCTCAGTGGTTAGAGTGTCAGCCTGCAGTCCAGAGAGACCCGGGTTTGGTTCCCTCTAAAGGCACGTACCTCGATTGTGGTTTGTCCCCGGCCCTGGTTGGGTTGTGTGGGAGGCAACCACTCAGTGTGTCCCTTTTACATCGATGTTTCTCTCTCTCTCTCTCTCTTCATCTCTCCCTCCCACTCTATCTGAACAAAAAATGAAAATATGTCCTAGGGTGAGGATTAAAAAAAGAAGACATGTCCTGCCACTTACTGTTGGATTTCCTAGCAGTTATCCCTAAATTACATGCCTTCTACTATATATATTGCATTCACTAGAAGCTTTTTATAGGCTATCCTTTGTGTTTCATTTGTAGCACTGTAATTTTTATACAAATCCTATAGCGGTTCAAAATCTAAATTAAATAATAGTTACCAAAGGTTATGAAGTTATATGAAACTTTGAAGAACATTTGAGTAAAAAAAAAAAAAAACATATACACACACACTTTTATTTGTTTTAGGTGTTTAAAAAAATTATATATATATATATAGAATATATGTGTGTGTATATATATACACACACATATATTCTATATATATATTATTTTTTCCTTAAGAGAAAGTTTAGTCTAAATAATGTAATCAGGTCATACATTAATAATAAACAATGAGCCAGGCTGCTGTGGCTCAATGGATTGAACACTGTCCCATGGACTGAGAGGTCCCGGTTGGATACCTGGTCAGCGCCCATGCCCAGTTTGCAGGCTCGATCCCCAGTAGGGAGCATGCAGGAGGCAGCCAATCAGTGTTTCTCTCTCACATTGATGTTTCTATCTCTCTCTCTAAAAAAATCAATAAAAACATATTTAAAATAATAAAATAATAAACAATGATATTTGATAAAATTCAAAAGTATCATTTAAAAAGACATAGCCA